GAGAGAGAGAGAGAGAGAGAGAGAGAGAGAGAGAGAGAGAGAGAGAGAGAGGGGATTTGACGATTGTAAATGAGGGAGCGCACCCCCTAGAACGAGAGAGAGAGAGAGAGAGAGAGAGAGAGAGAGAGAGAGAGAGAGAGAGACAAAGAGAGAGAGAGAGAGAGAGAGAGGAGAGAGGGGTGAATAGCAAGTGAACGGGAAGAGTAAGGGCGAAAGAGAGACGGCGAGAGGGACAGGGCAGAGAGAGAGAGAGAGAGAGAGAGAGAGAGATCCCAGTGGGATAGTAATCTTCGGGCCAGTGTCTTTCTTCTCTTCATGGAGGCATCCCCGTCGTCACTCCGAATCCCGACCTAGATGATTCTAAATGTAAAAACAAAAAAAAAAAAAGGAAAGAAAAAGAAAGAAAAGAAAAGAAAAAAAAGAAAAGAAAAGAAAAAAAAGATGACCAAATGTTGACTGTGTGATATACGGCACCCTTTGAGCCCCTTCTTCTCTATCATGTTTTTTTTTGAATTTATTTAAACAAATGTTGTACTATGCTGTGGTCTCTTCACACCTGGAGCTCCTCCCGTCACTCTCCTCTTTTTTTTTATTTTATATATATATCTCCTCTTTCATATTTCGTGCGTGCGGGCAACACTATTACTAGTATTTCTTTTTTCTCATTTTATCACATTGATTTCAATATGCATTTGAGTAGAAAAAATGATGATAAAAATCTCGAATGTTTTTTTTTTAATTATCTTTTTCCCATAAAATGCAGAAGTAAAAAATAAAAAAGAAGAGGAGCTAATGTAAAGGTTGTACTATGGCACGCATAAATCGAGAAATGGTCCAAATTAAAAAAAAAAAAAAAGGTTGTACTATCTCCGATATCTTCATAACTTCTATTAAAAACGGAATGGTAATTTAAAGCAAAGCGAAAAATATTTGTTGACGTCAACATCAAATGGTCATCAGCTTCTGCGTTGAAATCAAAGAGGCAGGATTGATGATGGCATCTGAGGGGGGCTAGTTTTGCACTACTCGCCATCCGCCGAGATTCCAAATGAATGCATCTGGACATACTCCCTGTCCAGATGCATTCATAATCTTGGGCGGATGGCAAGTAGTGCAACTATGCCCTGAATGATTTTTTAATCAAGTCTCACAATTTTCGTTTCATTCCGAAATAGGGCGTCGCCGCACGGGCCACGAAACGAAGAACGACACGAGTGCATGCATCTTCCTGCAGAAAATGACCAGGTTCATCGGTTTGCTATAAATAGTAACGAGTGTATTTTGCCACCTTTCGTGGGCAGATGCACTCGTTTCGTTTTCGTGTCGTGTGCCGTGCGGCGAGACCCATAATTTCGCAACCCATCCTGGCAGTGGAGCCTTCCTTCCAATCTTTGTTTTTTGTTTTCTTTTTTTTTTTCCCCTCCCCCAAAAACAAAACTCTCAGGAGGGGGG